TCTTAATTTTTCTTCTTAAAAAAAATTCAAAAAGATTGCAAATATAAATATAAAAAAAGGCAAAGAAGCGTCAAAACATGATTTAGACCTCGTAGACGGATAGTCATTGATAAGCAGTATATAGAAAATATAACCGGTAAAGTTGAGGATAATCTATTGTTCTTTGTGTTAATATAAATATCAAATACACAAAGCACGAATTTTTTTGGTAAATTTTCAGAACTTGCAAAAAAGTGTCCAACATGACTTCGAAGTCACGCGCGGATAATCATTGATAGGGAGTGTAACAAGCTAAGTTGATGATCATTAATTGTTCATTACGGTACTATAAATATCAAATACTGAATTAAGTGTCGGTCTGCGATATTTTGTTTGAATTTAATGAAAACCAAAAGATATCACGACTTACCTCGACAGCATGAAATACCGGACAGAGATATGAAGCATAGACCCGGTCTGTTAGACCGATCGTTGAAGTCTTCGAGTGTGGTAACGTGATGAGGCGAAGACTGATCAAGAAAACCGGACGGAGCGAAGTGGAGCTGTGACCGGTCCATGCGTCCGAACTTTGAGAGTTTCGAAAAAAAGAACCTTTGTCAATATAAATCAAGATCAAAATTGGGATTAATTGAAACTAAATCCTAATGGGACATTCTTATAGAGATAAAAGTGTATTGAGACATTTTCTGTTTTAATGTGTCATAATTTAGTAAATTTTTCTAAATATTTCATAGAAATGAATCATTGATTAATTACTTAAACCACAACTCTCTAATCCAGCAATTTGTAGTCCATATAAGTTATTTTTTTCGATGATGTCGGTACCGAAGATTTGACCGGACGGAGCGAAGTGGAGCTGTGACCGGTCCATGAGTCCGAACTTTATAGTTTCGAAAAAAAAACCTTTGTCAATATAAATCAAGGTTAAAATTGGGATTAATTGAAACTAAATCTTAATGGGACATTCTTATAGAGATAAAAGTGTATTGGGACATTTTCTATTTCAATGTGTCATAATTTAGTAATTTTTCTAAATATTTCATAGAAATAGAAATGAATCATTGATTAATTACTTAAACCACAACTCTCTAGTCCAGCAATTTGTAGTCCATATAAGTTATTGTTTTCGATGATGTCGGTACCGTTGACAATTTAATTCGTTTACTGTGTTTTTAGTACAAA